ATATGCATGTACAATGAACTTAAGTTCTATTATATATTTATGTATTAAATAATGAAATGAAAGAAATGAGATTTCAATAAATTGATTAAACTATCTTATTACAAGAAATGATCATAGCTTCGACAAGCTGAAGATTGTTTGTTCTTTTTGCACGTTGACTATTGTATTCGGAAAGGAAGCGCTTCCTACCCTATAAAATATATACATATATACATATTCCTGATCTGTCCGCCCATCTGCCCGTATGAACTCTGTGTTTACAGAAACTGTGTTTTCTAGAGTTTTTACGCTAGAACTAAAATTTTAACTGAAATGCATTGCTTGCGTCAATACCTAACACCTGTACAAAAAAAAGTACTTTGCCGCGCCCACTTAAACGCCCACAAACTTCAAAAAATCGTAGATATGAACCTGGATATCTAGGAAACTATCAAAGATAGAGATTTGGGATTTCAGATTTAGATTCCGTAGCCTTGTACGCAGCGCAAATTTATCACGCGAATAGGACACGCCAACTCTAATTTTTATACAAAAAAAAATTTTAACTGAAATGTATTTGTTTCATCAATACCTATCGATAAAATTATAAAAGCTTGCCACGCCCACTCCAACGCCTACAAACGCGACCTTAATGATATATGTGGATTCAATATATTCCAAGAAGTACATTGATTTTTCGTAGTATTTCTTCACCACTTTATATTCTTTATTATATAACCAATTGTGAACATTGACAATCCTAAAATAAAACAGATCTTTAAACAGAGCCACATCTTTAGGAGGTACAAAACCATTGTCTTTAATTGCGCGTAGAACAGTTACCCTCGATTGGGGTTTTGTCAAACAGTGCCAATTAAGTTCACAAACTCGGATTCTAAGCGTGTTCTGTGCAAATAGCGAAAAACAAAAAAACAAAGCTATAGATATTTGCTCTGGCCAAATATAAATCCATTTTTCGGGCGGTGGGATGCTGGATGTTATGGATTTGCCGGTTGATAGCTGCTATATAAGCATGGTTGAAGTTCTTGGAAGAGCACAGTGTCCCAGCTTTCACTGCCTAAGACAATAAGATGCGATTCCTCTGCGCTCTGATCTTTTCCTGCCTCCTGGAGGTGGCTTTTTCGGCCACAGCGGATCCCACAGCAGCGTCTCCTACAGCAGCGTCCCCTACAGCAGCGGATCCTACAGCAGCGTCCCCCACAGCAGCGGATCCAACAGCAGCGTCCCCCACAGCAGCGTCCCCCACAGCAGCGTCCCCCACAGCAGCGTCCCCCACAGCAGCGTCCCCCACAGCAGCCGATCCGACAACAGCCGATCCTACAACAGCATCTCCCACAGCAGCGTCTCCTACAGCAGCGTCCTCGACATTAAGCAGCACTACCACAGCGACCAACAACCCCACCTCAACTTCTACCACGACCACTACTTCTACTACTGAGAAATCTACTACTACGGAGGCTACTCAAAGGAAGGTAGAACGTATAAGACACTTCAGATCCAGGCATAAGAAAGCCTCGTCGAAGAAGACTAAGACCAAGAAGAGCAAGAAGGACAAGAAGGGCAAGTCCAAGTCCAAGAAGCACAAGAGGAAAACCAGGCGCACCCGTCGTGGTTAAACATTCAGATCCTTCTATTCCAACCAAAAAAACCGATTCCACCGAACCATGATTACATCGCGGCAAAAAACATATTATATTTTTTACCAATAAATTCAAAACGTATGTTTTGAAATTTTGGGGGCCACATCTCTATGATAAAACAAGGAAGAACGCTATAGTCGAGTACCTCGACTATCACATACCCGTTACTCAAAGGGAAATGGAGATATGCAAGCAGCAAAGCGAAATTAAAATGCGCCACCTACCGGCGGTAGACAGATTTAAGCGTTATGGGCGTTAGAGTGGGCGTGGCAAATTTATTTTTGGATCAATCGATAGGTATTGACGACACCAATACATTTCAGTTAAATTTTTTTATCTAGCGTGCAAATTGTGGGCGTCACTGGTTTTCGCGGTTTGTGAGCGTTTAAGTGGGCGTGGCAAACTTTTTTTAGGTCAATCGATAGGTATTGATGAGAACATTACATTTCAGTTAAAATTTTCTATCTAGCATCAAAACTGTAGGAGCCACAGTTTTGGGCGGTTTGTGGGCGTTAGAGTGGGCGTGGCACTCTGCTGAAACAAACTTGCGCTGCGTAAGAAGCTCAGGAATCTCAATAGCCTAGCTCCCATAGTTTCCGAGATCTCAGCGTTCATCCGGACAGACGGACAGACGGACATGGCTAGATCGACTCGGCTAGTGATCCTGATCAAGAATATATATACTTTATGGGGTCGGAAACGCTTCCTTCTGCCTGTTACATACTTTCCGACGAAGCTAGTATACCCTTTTACTCTACGAGTAACGGGTATAAAAATCGAAGATATATATAAGGCGGTATATATGCGGGTATGTATGCGATATGTATAAATCATTATGCAAATAATCATCGTTTAGAAAATTTTCATACTCACACACCTACTCACGCACACATACAAACGACTACCATTTTCCATTAAAAAACAACCAACAAAATAGAAATGCAATTTCTTGCATGCATATTAAAATTTAAGAGCAAATTTTGTAACTCGAAAATTTACAATTGAATAAAGTCTAGTTAAGTTGAGAATAATGAAACTGAATTTTCATGTTGCATTTTAACCCTTTATTTGTAGAATATATATTGTATTCGTAGGAAAGTATGTAAAAGGTAGAGAGAATCGATTTCACATTCTTAATTCGCTGTAAATTGTATTTTATTTAAATTATCAATATCTATTGGCGTACCAAGAATGATTCACATCGGTCTGTTAGTTAATAAGTTAAATTGGTAAGCTGAGTAATGGGTATATGATAGTCGAGGCACTCGACTACAACTTGCTCTTTTATTTATATTACATAGTTTATAGTTTATAGTTTATAATCACATTTTGTTTTTATTTGCATGGGTAATTTTCACGAGCAGCTCATCAATGTGTGTGTTTGCCGACCACTGTTATACACTGTACGTGTGGCGACAGAGCTCATGCAGATCTATTCCCTATGCCCACTTAATGGGATGCTGCTAACCACTGGACTAACATATAAGTACTTAGTATACTTAACTATTAAAAATACTTTTTTTTGTGTTCCTTTAAAGCGAATGCAACATGTTTGGAAGAAAGGTAATATATAGTGAATGAGCTAGTAAAACATCATTTTGATCGATTTGCCTGCGCAACAAAGATCTCTCGGAAAGACAAGTAGGCTACCTCCTTTTCCTTCTCCCACACTCCGACTATTTTTCATTCAACTATTACAACCTCACTTGCTACATACATAACATCCAATAAATTCATATAGAAATTTATACATATATCTATAACCATGCCATCGCCAGGAGAAGCCGAGCTGCCGAAGATTTGTTGTTCAGAGTGCTTGGCGAAGATACTCGAAGCGATGCAATCTCAGCAGGGCTCTCTTATGACTGAAGAAGAATCCCCAAATGAGGATCATCTTTCTCCCGATGATAACATAAACGTGGTCATGGGGCTAGAATACCACGAGATGTCCGATGATGATGTCATTATGATCATGGGGTTAAATGGCGACATAAGCGAAGACGACGATACGTCTTCCAACGAAGACGACGAGACATCTTCCAACGCAGATGACAAAAATGTTCTCCCTGGGGAACAGCCAAAGAATAATTAAAAATCAAGTTCATACAAGAAACCCCTACAAAACCAAAAAAAATTACAGATTTTTGTTCGGTTTTGTGCAGCCTGCAGAAGGATTACTTGAATAATCTCAATCCACCGGAGTTACGCATTCTTGATTGCCATTAAGAATGATTCGTTTCCCGATTACAGAACCGAAAAGTTCTGCAGCCCTCACCAAAAATTAAGGTAAGTGCATTTTTAAAAAAATCTTCACAATTCTTAACTTTATTTTATATATAATATAGAACTGGCAGCCGACATAATGGACTACTCTCATCAACACAACTGCCCTCTGGAACCGGAGTATCCCTGATGGAGGTGAACCAGTGCCAAGCAAAAAAGATCAAGGGATATCAATGCAACTAGATCATCTTAAATATTAAATAGTACATTACTTAAAGAGTACTGCTGACAGTACAGATTTTACCATGTAATAAAATGTACATATTTAAGATAGTCTGCCAATAGTGGTATTCAGAGTCTGAATCAAAAGTAATAGATCCTCATTAGGGACCTTTGTTCTAAAAATCATCAGATTTTAATCTATAAACATTAAATAACTTTTATTTTGTAATGTATTTTATTCACAAGTATGTGGAGAAGGGAGCCTCAGGAGATCCTTGCTTTGATCCTTCGAAGTCGTCCATTGTATGAAATTCTGAAATGTGGTTGCGATGTTTGATGTTTTGTGAAATAGGTGCTACACATGGAAAAATGCTGCGATATGTTATTTAACTCTAACATTTTCAACCAACCTCCCGATTTGTATACCCTTTACTCCAAGCAGGAGGAAGTTTTATTGACCCTTTAAAGTAGGTATATAAATTCCTAATCATGATCACTAGCCGAATCGCTCTAGCCATGTCCGTTCGTCTGTCCGTTCGTCTGTCCGTTCGTCTGTCCGTCCGTCTGTTTGTCGGTCCGTATGAACACTGCGATCTCGGAAACTACAAAGCAAACAAGTTGGGATTAACCTTGAAGGGGTTCCTACGAAAAACATCTTTAAGATACTCACCGTAAATATTGACCGTCCCTTTGAATGAATAAAAACCATATCGCTGCTAACCACTAGACTAACATATAAGTACTTAGTATACTTAACTATTAAAAATACTTTTTTTTTGTGTTCCTTCAAAGCGAATGCAACACTATGTTTGGAAGAAAGGTAATATATAGTGAATGAGCTAGTAAAGCATCATTTTGATCGATTTGCCTGCGCAACAAAGATCTCTCGGAAAGACAAGTAGGCTACTCCCTTTTCCTTCTCCCACACTTCGACTACATTTCATTCAACTATAACAACCTCACTTGCCACATACATAACACCCAATAAATTCATATAGAAATTTATTCATATATCTATAACCATGCCATCGCCAGGAGAAGCCGAGCTGCCGAAGATTTGTTGTTCAGAGTGCTTAGCGAAGATACTCGAAGCGATGCAATCTCAGCAGGACTCTCCTATGACTGAAGAAGAATCCCCAAATGAGGATCATCTTTCTCCCGATGATAACATAAACGTGGTCATGTGGCTAGAACACGACGAGATTTCCGATGATGATGATGTCATTATCTTCCAACGCAGATGACAAAAATGTTCTCCCTGGGGAACAGCCAAAGAATAATTAAAAATCTAGTTCATACAAGAAACCGCTACAAAACCAAAAAAAATTACAGATTTTTGTTCGGTTTTGTGCAGCCTGCAGAAGGATTACTTGAATAATCTCAATCCACCGGAGTTACGCATTCTTGATTGCCATTAAGAATGATTCGTTTCCCGATTACAGAACCGAAAAGTTCTGCAGCCCTCACCAAAAATTAAGGTAAGTGCATTTTTAAAAAAGATCTTCACAATACTTAACCATATTTTATAAATAATATAGAACTGGCAGCCGACGTAATGGACTACTCTCATCAACACAACTGCCCGGAACCGGAGTATGCTCATATGGAGGATCAGAAATTGACGATCCCTGATGGAGGTCAACACTTGCCAAGCAAAAAAGATGGAGGGAAATCATTGCTAATAGATCATCTTAAATGTAAAAGCATACATTACATAAGAGCTGACACAGTAAAGACTTTACCATTTAATAAAATGTACAAACTTAAGATATTTAAGATGGACATATTTAGGATACCAATTGTGGTATCACGTTCTAAATCAAAAATAACATATTGCATATTAATCTATAAATAATAAATAACTTTATAATAAAAAACTTGTATTTTGTAATGCATTGTATCTGTATCTGTCCGTTCATCTGTCCGTCCGTCTGTCTGTCTGTCCGTATGAACACAGATCCCAAAAACAAAAAAAGCTAACAAGTTGGGATTAACCTTGCAGATTCTAGGGGTTCCTGCGAAAAATATCTTTAAGATACTCACCGTAAGTATTGACCATCCTTTTGATTGAATAAAAAACATACCACCTTTTTAAGGGATTCTAAACAATTTATTGAACACTTTCTCTTCTCACTCGCTTTGCTCGGCTTATAAAAGTAGACAAAAACAAGGAAGAACGCTATAGTCGAGTACCTCGACTATCAGATACCCGTTACTCAGCTAAAGGGACCAAAGGGAAATGGAGATATGCAAGCAGCAAATCGAGATTTAAATACGCCACCTACCGGCGGTAAACAGATTTAAGCGTTATGGGCGTTAGAGTGGGCGTGGTAAAATTTTTTTTGGATCAATCGATAGGTATCGACGAGACCAATACATTTCAGTTAAAATTTTTTATCTAGCATGAAAACTGTGGCCGTCACAGGTTTGGGTTTGTGGGCGTTAGAGTGGGCGTGGCAATTTTTTTTTCGGGTCACTCGATAGGTATTGATGAGAAGAATACACTTATGTTAAAATTTTTATTCTAGCATCAAAACTGTAGGAGCCACAGTTTTGGGCGGTTTGTGGGCGTAAGAGTGGGCGTGGCACATTGCTGAAACAAACTTGCGCTGCGTAAGAAGCTCAGGAATCTGCACGCCAAATCTCAATAGCCTAGCTCCCATAGTTTCCGAGATCTCAGCGTTCATCCGGACGGACAGACAGACGGACAGACGGACATGGCTAGATCGACTCGGCTAGTGATCCTGATGAAGAATATATATCCTTTATGGGGTCGGAAACGCTTCCTTCTGCCTGTTACATACTTTCCGACGAATCTAGTATACCCTTTTACTCTACGAGTAACGGGTATAAAAAGGTTGCCAAAAGATTGCTTAAACTATTATATCGTTTTCGTTATATACGATTTCTAGACACATTTTATCAGTTGAAGAATGTTTTCATAATACCATAATTCGATATAAACTCAATTCAATTTTTGATTCATAAATTCTATTCCTAAAAAACGATATCACATGAAATTCTACGTCGAAATACAATTATAGGGATTGGCATTATTCAAAGGAACCCAAGTCAATAGTATAAGTCCTTAGGTAGAACTCCATAGTTTAATTTCGAATCGTATAGTTATTAAATCCAAATAAAAAACCATTTTTGTTGAGTTTTTAGTTTATGCATTTATTATAATATATGGTAAGATCGAGTCTAAAACCGACCTCTCAAAATGAATTCTATGACACTTTCGGTTATACAAATGAATAAAAAAGTTTTTTTTTTCGCTTTTGATTTGTGTAATTTTTGATTAACTAAGGGGAAAGACATGCGACGACATGAAACGAACATCGGGATAAGATGCCCATATATATGTAGATATATATACTCGAATATGTAGATATAGGTTTTAAGTAAATTGTCTGCCAATTTGCGTATCTATATGTTGTGTATATATATATATATATGCGTAGTCATTTCCGTAGACTTAGGTGGCTAAAAACGTTTTGAAAATCGAAACACAAAGTGAAGACGATAGTTGCAAGTATAAAAAATATGTTTATGTTTGTTTCTCCTCCTATATAAAGCTTCCATCCTCGTTTCTATATAAAATCTTCAATCTTCTATATCCACAACCTCAACCTGGCCAGCAGTATGCGTGTGTGTGTATGTTTTTGTATCTATGATTATTTTCAGCGACCTCAGTTTTCTTTTTTTTTTATAGGTGGAAACAGGAAGCGGCAATGAGAGAAAGGACTCATTGCTTATCTGCGATTGAGTTTTGATTAGTTTTTGGGATGGGATTTCTCAGTATGCTCATCTATAATATATATAAATGTGTAGATCATCGTTCAACGTTTATAAAAATATATATATATGTGTGTTTCGCCATGAAGTTTGAACTGTTCTCTTAAGACTTTTGTTTTGGGATGTCGATAATGCACCAATGTGTGAATATTTATACTATAAGTATAACTGTAAATGGATATGTTTTATTTTTCTCATTTATTTCGGAGACTTTATTGTTGATTTTACGTTAAGGTTTGCGTGTGAGCTTTAAATTTCTTCTTTATTTTTGGAATGAATTCTTGCTTCAGAATCGAAGAATTAAAAAAGTGTGCGAATGCTGAAGGCAGAAATAAGACTTGGAATTGGTTAACTTTACAGGTAGCTAAATGTTAAGGTATTACAAAGTGCATTCTACAACTATGGGAGAGGAAGTCTGTGTGGTAATCTTGTTTTTTTTTTTTTAATAATAAATCATTCCCATCCAACAGTCACAAAACGCACAGTGAATTGTTGAACTGGACTTCATTGGTTTACATAGAAAAGTATACAAAACTAAATTCCTACTTAATTAAGGTACAAAAAATTGGAAAAATTTGCAAATCGAAATAAGGTGAGAACTTTTTCGAATTTGGGCTTAAGGAGCTTTTCTTCTTTTTAGTCTAAGGTAAGTAGATGGTGTTATTATTATACTATTACATATTTCATATTTTGTGGTTCATTGTGTTTGCTTTATGCGCCTTCTGATCATTAGATATATGTATATATATTTTTAATATTGTATTGTATTTCGCCTCTCTTTCGTTCTACGCTCCTCTTTTACTATTCTTTTTATTTTGTTTTTGTTAAATTTTATTTTAAATATCACGGCATTCAGCTGAGGTCTGATCTGATCTATTTCTTATGCTTATATATCTTTTCACACGATTTTGTTTACTTTGTTTTTATTGCATTGGCATTTCACATTTTTAGTTTTTTTTCTGGGGGGGCTTTGTGTGTGTTCTGTGGAAATCGAAAAACAAAAAAATAAAAATGGCTGCAGCAACGCTTCCGGATATATCAACTATCGACTATTTGGACTAAACAAAACAAGCAAAATTAATCTACAATAGCTCATCAGAGACACAGATACAGATACGAATACCGAGGCAGATGCCGATGCCGATGCCGATGGAGATACAGATACAGAGAATGGGTAGGGCGAGCACCGAAAGCTAAGTCTGGGGATCCTCGCCAGCACGCGGACTGGGGCTGAAGAGCTGGGCGCAGATGCGTCGCAACTGGAGCTGGCCACCCAACAGGCCTGCCCTCTGCATTAACTCTCACAAATTCCGCCGGCCCAATTGGCGATCCTCCCGCTCAGCATCCTCATCCTCCTCCACCTCGTCGTCACCATCGCCGTCGTCCTCTTCGCCATCCAGCTCCACGTCCACCTCGAAGCGGGAGCCACCACCCCTCTGCGGCACTCCTCCAGTGGTGGTCGCACTCTCGCTGAAGTGCATCAGATTGGTGTCCATCAGTCCGTTGGTCAGGCTGAGTGGCGGCGACGATTGCGACGGTGGTCCCTCCAGCGAGAGGCGACTGTTGGTGCTGATGCTGCTCATGCTCAGCTGATCGTCGAACACCTCGATGTTCACCACCGTCGAGAGTTCACCGTGTTCGCCGTACGAATGGCGTATGGGATAGTCCCCAGCATCTGTGACTTCCGGTTTTTGGCCTTTGTTGTTTAGCATCGCATTGGGATTCATGTTGCCCTTGGTTGGGATTATGTTGTTGTTGATGTTGTTATTGTTGTTGTGAGCCAAGCCATCCAGCTGATCTGTGGTAAAATAGGTGCCTATGGAAGGAACATATTTAACATAAATTAGTAAACTTTATCAGTGGATCAAAAGGGGGTTTTAGGATTATTAATATTTTTATTTCCCCAACAAAAGAAAGGAAAAAATCTTAAGTATCAATCACATTAAATTAATTTTATATACAAAATACGTAAAAAAAATATATTTTCATGACTTTAGAAGAATAATATATAAATTGAACATCAATTCCTAACATTTTTGAAATATTAATTAAGAATTTAAGTTTTTAAGAGCTTTTAAAAGTAATAATAATATTATCTATGATAGGATATGATATAATAATAATAATATATATGATATAAAAAAATTTATAGTTGGCACTCATCTTCGAATTATTACCGAATTTCGGTTTTTTTTTTTTAGATTTTTTTGTCAAGCCGTTTTGGCTGCAGAAGCTACTTCCCGTTTTTCTAGGCTCTTCTTTTATAATTTAGTAATATATGACACAATAATAATATTATGAATACAATATTATAATTGATATGATACAATAATCTTATTAATACAATATTTAAAACTTTTATTGAACTTTAAAAACCATTTAATAATATTAGATCTGCAAAACAAGATCCCAAAACCCAGTAACAACACATATAAGCCTCATTTGTTGTTTTAACTAAAATTGCATTTATTTAATCATACATCATTTAATTAAATTAAATTTTAGTGTTTAGCGATTTCCTTGCCTCCTTTTTCATCCATCTCTCAAACGTAAATCATAAATACTGCGAGTTAGACATAATTTTTATACGATATACATATATTTATATACAGAAAACAACTGATTTCCTTACTTTTTACAATCTTTTAAAGAAAAAAAATAGAGAAAAACGAAATAAAAACATACACAAGAGACAATTTCTAATAAATTTAATAAATTAACAAACAAATAATAGAACATTTTAAAAGGGGACCTTGAGTGTGGGAGAAACTAGATGAAACTTGAACGAGTATGGAGAAAACTTAACGAAAGCAAAGCCTAAAAACAAGTTCAAACGATTGTGACATTGGACAATTAGTATTATAATCAATACGGTTTAGTTATTATAATTAGTTGCTTTGCAAAAGTTACACCCAGTTGGATTTTGGGCAGGAAAGTGTAGTTTCTGGGGAAAATCGTTCTATGGATAAAATTGAATACCCATATGGGGTTGAATATTTATTTAACCATTAACTTCCAACTGTGTGTCCTGCAAGCTAGAGCTGCATGTGTGTGTGTTTAGTGTGTGTGTGTAAGCTAGGGGGCAGGATTTCAATTTTACAAATTTCGATTTCCGCACTGAGCGAATGTTTGGGCGCCATTTATGTACAATTTGAGAGCATTGATTATTTTCGATACATGATCTGTGTGTTTACGTTTAGGCCTTTTTCTTTTTCTTTTAATTAAATATATATATTTATATATACATATATATAAATGGGTGTGGTTTATATATATGTTCTGTTGTATTCATAGTTTCTAGAAATGTATAGCTAACAATATAACTTTGCACTTAAAAATCGGTTAGTATTTAAATATTTTTTGTCGCTTTTCCTCATTGGTTTTTATGTTTTTTGTCTAAACGAATTGCTACAGTCGTTTTTGTTTTTTTATGTTTTGTTTTCGCTTTAAATTAGGCATTATAACTAACTTTTTGTTTTTCTTTTCGATAAATCACAATTTTTTTGCAGAGTTTTGTGTTTTGTTTTGTTGTTTTTTTTTTGTTGGTTTTTGTTTTGTGGTTACTGAAATGATTTACTTTTCTTGCACACAGCTAAAAATTAAGAATCTAGAGTCATCTGTCGTGGTTGTTGTCCATTTCCATATATGGGCGTTTCGAATTGCTGTGGGGAGGAGGAGTTCTCCCCTCGTTTGCTGCTGTCCTGGTAGAGGAAATGCTTCCCTCTACTTGGCTCTGGTTCTGCCCACCGGCTGGTCACCTTCCTCCTGCTTCACGATGGGATTTGGCTGGTTGTCAGGTTGATCCGGCTGTTCCGATAGAGCATGATCCGGCGGCGACGGCTGCTGTGGCTGCTGCTGCTGCTGGAGCGCATGGGCAGTGGGTGCTCCTGCATCCTGTCGGTTGGCATACAGATGCCACAGCACCACCAGGCTAAAGACGCACAGCAAACAAATCGCTAATTCTTATCTCTTGCGTCGTTTCGTCTTCTTCTTTGTGGCACTCGGCGGGCTGGCCACGCCCACGCCCAATCCCACAGAGGTAACGCCTCCGGCGGCGACGGGCAGAGTAGCCGCTGTGGCAGCACCCGAGGCCATATTCCCAGAGCCAGTTGCTCCGCCTGGCGAAAGGGAGGATTGCAATCCAATGCCCAGGCCCAGACCCGTGGGATCCGGATGAACCGTCGTCTCCACACTGCTCTCCTCTGCCGAGGATGTAGACGAGGAGGTGGCCGCCTCGATGGCCGCTATCAGATTGATCTTGTGCTCCAGCTTCTTGGTCTTGAGCTTGTGCGGTGCGGCATTGGTTGTGCTGGAGGAGCCATAGACCACATTGTCATCGGATGTGGTGGCCGGCACGGGTCCCTCGCTGTCCGTGTTGGTGGCATTGGTGGCCACGCCACTGCTGCCGAAGTGCAGCAGGTCCTCGGGCAGTGATTGCTCTGGCTCCGTCTCCTCAACATCCTCATCCTCGTCGGGCATTGCCCTGGCAGCTGGTTCCTGTTCTTGCACCTCCAGCTGGGAATCGCACATGCTGATGCTGATCAGAGGACGCAGCTCCTCGTCGTCTGGTTCCCGCTCCCGTTCCCTTTGCTGCTGCTGCAGCTGGAGCTGCTTCAGGCGCTTGTGCTTCTTGCTCAGCTTCTTGATGGGCTCCTCCATGATGACAATCTCCTCGGATCCGGAAGAGTTATTCGATGTGGAGGTGGACTTCTGCAGATCCAGAGTATCGAGGGCTATGTATACCGGTTCCGGTGTGGTCACCACCTCGGTCTGCACCTCTGGATCTGTGTTCCTTATCCGTTCCTGTTCGTTTTCGTAGTGCAGGGAGCCGCACAGGGCCAGGATCAGATTTTGTTCGGTGAAACCCCGTGGTGGTGGGGAAATATTTCGCGGGATCGCCGACTTCTCCTGCAGCGGACTTTCGAAATTGATTAAGCTGACCGTTTCCTTCTTGGAGTCCTCTTTGACCTCAAGGGGTTCCAGAGCAGGAAGAGGTGGCAAGGCCTCCAGGGGCTTTAGGCCGCTCAGGAAGTCCTCAAACGTGTCCTTCACTTCTTTTGGGGGAGTAGTCAGTTCCGGCAGCAGTTTCTCATCCCGCTTCTTTTCCGGACTCGCCTTAGTGGGTTTCTTGCCCAGGCTGGGATAATCCTGAACCGCTGGCAGTTTGGGTGGAGTCTCGTCGACAACGCGCCTCCAGGGGCTGGTCACGTTTGCTGGGATGAGGGATTCAAGGGATTTTTCCCTCTCCTTCACCTTTTCTTTTTCCACCTTCTCTTTGATTTTGGCCTCTTTTTCCCTCTGTGCCTCTTTTTCCTTCTGCACCTCTTTCTCCTTCAACTTAGCCTCTCTTTCGAGATCCTTGAGCTTTTCAGCTTTCTCTTTTTCCTTAAGCTTTTCCTCTCTTTCCTTTTCTTTTAGCTTTTCCTCTCTTTCCTTTTCCTTAAGCTTTTCCTCTCTTTCCTTTTCTTTAAGCTTTTCTTCCATTTCCTTTTTAAGCTTCTCTTCACGTTCCTTCTCCTTTAGTTTCTCTTGCCTTTCTTTCTCCTTGAGCTTTTCTTCTCTCTCCTTCTCCTTTTGCTTTTCTTCTCTTTCTTTTTTCTTGAGCAGCTCCTCCTTGATCTTTTCTTCTCTTTCCTTCTCCTTAAGTTTTTCTTCGCGTTCCTTTTCCCTGATCTTTTCAGCTCTTTCCTTCTCCTTGATTTTCTCTTCGCGTTCCTTCTCCTTTATCTTCTCTTCCCGCTCCTTTCGGAGCTTTTCTTCTTTTTCCTTCTCCTTGATCTTTTCCTCCTTGAGCTTTTCTTCTCTCAGCTTTTCCTTGATCTTTTCCTCCTTTAGCTTTTCTTCTCTCAGCTTTTCTTTGATCTTTTCCTCCTTGAGCTTCTCTTCTCGTTCTTTCTCCTTTAATCTATCTTCTTTTTCCTTGAGCTTAAGCTTTTCTTCTCGCTCTTTCTCCTTAAGCTTTGCTTCCTTTTCTTTCTCCTTGAGCTTCAGCTCCTTCTCTTTGGATTTCTCCCTCTCCTTGTCGATTGTCATGGTTTCTACTGCTCCCCCTGGTTGAAGCTTTTTCTTGCCCATCCTAGGAGGTTCCTCTTCGAGATCCTGCTCCTCTTCCTCCTCCTCATTCTCGTCCTGCGCATCCGACGCACTCGTCTCCACATGCAAACTCAATCCCTGAGCACTGGCACTGCTCACCATGACGGCTGCAATGCTGCTCTTGTTGGCCAACAGACTGTCTGCATGATCTGATTCCAGATCGGAGTCCTCCTCCGGCTTGGCTTTCTTCACCACCTCCACATCCTCCTCCTCCGCTATGATCTTCTCTTGCTCCAGATTCTTCTGCTCTAGATTCTTCTGCTCTGGCTTTCTTTCGATCACTTTCCCGCTGGTCTTTTGCTTGTTACTCTTGGCCTTCTTCGCTGATTTGCCGATCGTGGCAGTGGTGGCCTCATCCTCGGAGGTGCCACTCCCACTTTTCTGGCTGGCAGTTTTAATGTTGTTACCCTGGCTGGGATTACCCTTGGGCTTGTTGAGGTGCGAAAGCTCTGCGAATTTCTGCGCTTGCGCAGCATCCTCGGCAGCTGCCAGGGATCGTAGGGTTTTCTGTTGCTGCTGATGCTGCTGCTGTGCCTTGTGCGATTGCTTCTGGGACTTTTGCTTCTCCTTCTGGACGAGCACCTCGTCCACCTCCTTGGCAATCACGGGCACAATCAACTTGTTAACCAGCACCACTGGTGGTTGACAAATGGCCTGCTCCAGTTCCAGTTCCGATGCCGTTTCTTCGTCCGTCTTCTGATTCTTCTGGAGAAGCTTTTGTCTCTCCACCGGATCACTGCAAAAGATCGCAACCACTGGCCGGAACAGAGCCTCATCGCAATTCTCATGGATCACCGTGTCCTCAGCGGCCAGTTGGCCCACCACCTCGTCCAGCATATCCGCCTGCAGTTCCCCAGAGATCCCAGCATTCAGATCCGTGACCGTGCCCAGGGGATTGACCATTTTCTCCACACGCGAATAGCTGCAAATGTTGGGCAGAACGGAGGCCAGTGCTGAAATGGAATCCATCGAGTGCAAATGCTCCGTATCCGGATGCTGATGCTGATGTTGATCCTCCACCACCTCGTCCAGATCGTTGAGGCTCTCGTGCTCGGCGAGGGCATCGTAATAGCAGGCATTATCACAATTCGAGGACGAACTTCCGACGCCGCCGGCGGCCAGGAGATCCTGGGGGGCTGGCGAGGAACCGGTGGCCAGGTGGTCGCCACCCGAAGGAGCTGCATGATCTGCAGAGGCAGCTGGAGGCGGGGCACAACAACGGTGGGGCACAGGACACAGAATACAGAGCGGAGAAAAAGAGAAATAGAAGAGAAAACAAATTATGAGAAAAGCGCATTTTCGGTTCGTACAGGAAACAAAAAACAAAAAGCCAAAGGCAAATTTTGATTTCGATATTGAGATTCGAAGATTTGAAAATGTTTAATTGAAAAATATATTTTTAGCTTCTTTTGTTTCATCTATTTATTTGTGTGAATTATTTTATTTAAATATTTTAGCTAAGCTTGGTTTGTTTTTTAATTGGCAGTATGCGCGTTGAAAACTTTTATTTTTCGAGCAGTTGATCGATTGAAAAGGAAGCGGAAAACACTCAAAACAAAAAAGGAAAATCGAACGTGGAACAGAAAAATAAAAAACTTTGTAAATATAGATATTTGTTTTAGGCAAATTAAAAAAATGAAAAACGAAAATATACTTTTTTTTTTTATCTGTCTGTTTTATTTTTTGTTTTAGTGTGAAAACGAAAAGAATTATAAAATTAAAGTTAAGAAAATAGTAGCGTGACATTGATTTTGGGGAAATAATAAAGAAACTGGAATATTGTTTTATCGTGAATTTTGAATTGCGTTTTCGAAATTTTTATGGCTTTGGCTTTTTATTAAAAGATTCATGTAGATTAATGTGCTCTTTCCTCTCAACCGTTCTCTTTCTCTCTCTCTCTCCCTCCCTCGCTTTCTCCCTCTCTCCATCTCACTCGAACCCAATCACTCTATGGCTTTCTCACTCGCACGTGCAATGAAACTTTCGGTTTAAAATTTTACTTTCGTTATTTTTAGCAAACGAATAGAAATCATAAGTGTATTTAACGAATCACAAGAGACAAGGACGAAAAGGGGCACCCATAAGAAAGTGAAGCAGAAGAAGAGGAAGCGGCGAAGCATTGAGGTGAAAAGTGCATCGAGGTGAATAAAATGCAACCATGTGATGGAGAAATGCAACCATGTGATGAAATGCAACCATGTGATAAAAAGTTAAGGAATAATGGTGTAAATTACACAGAACTGAGTGATATGAGCCAAATGGGTGGTGAAATTTTCTAAACTATGTGTTAGAAGGTGTGTTCAGAAGTTTAATAGAGAAAATTTTGAAACAAGTGTCATAACGATAGTACAAAATATGAAAGTGCTTAAAACAAAAAGTGGGAATTGAAAATGCTAATGATAAGGGTTGACTGTGAAAAGAAGTATAAGTGTACTAAAATCTTTTAAAAGGAAAAACAACATTAAAAAAATGTTTAAATACCAAAAGGGCGATGGTGAAAAAGATCGTTAAGAAATTCAAAAATGGTTGTCTATGCTGTTTCGCGGTGAAAAAGCGTCCATATCGAGCTGTAGAGGCAAGTTTGTTAAATTTTCTTTCAGTGGGAAAATCAGATCAGATCAAGGTTAAATATGTCTCCATACATTCTACCCGATCGGTTCGATCCATCCCAGGGGGTTAAGTGCACGACAGGATTAACAGCGACCAATGGGGCAAAGAAGTGTTAAAAGTCGATGTGTAATATAATGTGTTGCAGAAGAATTCTTTTAGGGGTAGGTAGAATTTGTGGGTTTCTTTCTTTTGGATAGAGGACTCTGCTGTGACAAAAATGTTGTTAGCTTAAATTTAGTTGTCATTAAGATAGAAATAGATTAATTTAAATTGTATCTCATTTTACGATTAAACAAAAACACCAAAGAAAATATTTATGGTTAATTTGCATAGGCAATGTTTTTTTCCGGCTAGAAAAATAAAATTTCAACAACTGAAAGTTAAAAAAAACACCAACACACCAAACACCAAAAAAGACTCCAATACACACACTCACACACACACACAGAGAAAGGGAGAAATGTAAATGGATGAGGAATGAGGAGAAAGCTTAGTGATATGAGAATAAGTAGAGTAAAAGGATCATGCAAGGGTGAGAGGTGGGAGGGATGGCTATAACATCATCATCATCAGCATCATATCATCATAGTTCATCATCATTATCAACAACCAACAACCAATGCCAATTTCGTGGTGTTTTATAATCAATATTTAAATACAGCTTTTTTTCTTTTGTTTAAACACCAAAAATATTTTGAATTAAACATTTTCATTTTGAAAGCGTTCGTAAAGTAAAACGTAAGAATTTATATATATATATATAATAAAGTGTTTCAAAAACAAAAACTTAAAACCAAAAGGTACAAAAAGGAACATATAACGTTTGAATAGATCGTAGACAATTAATAAAACGATTTGTGAAGACATCGAGAATCGGCTAACTATCAAGGAGGATGCTTTTGATTCTAGGAATTCACCCACTGGGATGGCCAGGAGGGAACTGAGATCCCCTCCAGAGCCACACAAGCAGTACTCTTCCCACAATCATCGGCTAGCATTCCAATAGTCTTGCACAACATGCGATATTTATGTGTACATCTATCCAGGACGATTTGGGATTCGATTGCCACTCACCCGTATTTTCACGTCGCGCGGCAGCCGTGGATGGGGATTCACGCATGGCATCCGCCAAATCCTCCTTGAGACGCGTGTCGCCGTGGACATAATCAGAGTCCAAGTGACCATGTCGGAAGCGATCCATCAACTTTGGACTCTGCTCAATGCTGCCTATTGCGTTCATACAAAAATACTATTTAGTTGAAGAAGATATAGTCAGGTTGACTTTCTTACTATAAGATCCGGATTCGATTAGAACCGGTACTCCGGCACCGCTGCGTCCCGTCACCGCTGAGCTACCGATGCCAGCTCCTCCCACCGAAGTGGCTGCATTCAGTGGCATGTTCAGCGGACTGGACCGATCCTTGGCCCCCACCGAACCCACTCCCAGAGCAGACGAAGCTGCTGCCGTCGAGGGCAGCGTGGTGGTCGACGTCTTGGTAACGCCTATCTCCACCGCCTCTGCATCGACGTGGTTCAGATTCGAACTAAAAAAAGGCCACATAAAAACGTATACATAAGTATTGGGATACATATATTATATATATATATATTCCTCACCCGCTGGGCGTGTTGTAGTTCTTGAAGACGAACTGCGGTCCCATCCACAGCCGGCGGTGGGGACCTGCGTGCGTGATGATCTCCACCTGCGCCAGCCAGCTTTCGGCCCGCTCGTCCGGCTCATCGAAATGATGGGCGCTGTCCAGCAGCAGGCTGGCATGGCGATCCTTGATCAGCCAATTGTCCAGCGTCAGCGGTGGTGCGATTTCTTGAGATCCATCCTTGCGCCGCCCCAGATTCCACTGGGCACGGGCCTCCACCTCCAGCTCGATGGGCGTGTCATCACAAATCTTCTCTTTGGCAACATCTGTGCAAGGGTGAGTAAATGTCATTTAGTAGATGAAACAAAAGAACACCAATCGTGTGACTCACGTGAGGCTAGCTTAGTGTCCAGATCGTACTGGATGAGCGCCCCGTGTCCGGCCATCACGAAGAGCGAGTCCACCGCCTTGCGCTGGACGCGATGCGGCTGCTCTCGTGTCGCCATCGGTGGCTCCAGCAGCCAGGAGCGCGACTTGGCGAAAATGGAACAGACGCTCAGCGGTTTGCCACTGTCGTCCGACAGCGAGGAGAGGCGCTGTCGCTGCCGTTGGCTGCTGCTGCCCACACCAACGCCTCCATGACCGCCGGAACTTACTCCGGTGCCCATGCCAACGCCGCCTCCCACTCCACCGCCCAGGCCCGCCGATCCTGGCGGTGATCCCAGAGTGAAGGGCTGGCGCAGCTGGGCCAGCGGCTGTACCACCGAGGGACGCGGATACGGCGGCAACGTGGGATTGTGATACGGTTGCAGCGACTGCACAAACGTCGTGCTCTCCGAGTGCGAGATCGGCGAACTGGAGCGCCCATCTGCTCCGAGGCCGGCGCTCCGGTGGAAGCGTGACAGCTTGTTGACCACATGCAGCGAGGTGTGCGTGCGAACGCCCATGGCGCCGCCGTAGGGCGTGATGGGGAAGACGTGGGTGGTGCCGCGCAGCGTGGACACGGCAGCCCAGCGCGAGTCCAGCGAGAAGGCGATGTGCTGCACCTTGGCGCTAGTATCTCCGCGATGCAGCACATACAAGTGGTGCACGGCGGCCAGGCTGGGACCAACCGGATGCGGTTGCACTCGGAACACGTGGAAATCGTGGCCGCGTCGATCGGCGGTGAGCAGCAGCATGCCGGAGCTGTCGAACTCCATGGCCACCAGAGCCTCGCTGTGGGCCACAAAGTGAGCCACAATGGGGTCGCCACCGCCCTGGGAGCCACCCGTGGAGCTCAGCGGAGTACCCGTCGTGGGGCTGTAGTCCTTCACCGGATGCTGCAATCGGAAAGAGATCATTTAGAGATCAAGTCGGGAAGGGTAAATCCCATCTCCACCCACCTTCACATCGATGATGGTGACCACACCCGACTGCTTGGCATCCGGACCACCGCTGGCCGAGTCGAAGCTGCTGCTCTTGGAGCTGGCACCGCTGCCGGCGGTGGTGCCCGTCAGTCCGGCGGCCACCTGCTCGCCCAGCTCTCGCAGTCCCTTGCCAAAGGATTTGGCCGCATTGAGCACAGTGGCCGTGTAGCTGGGAACGCCCTCGCCATCGCATCCGCCGCCGCTGCGCTTTGAGTGCAGCAACTTGTGCTCCGCATAGGCCAGCCAGCGCGGTCCCAGCGCTATGGGATTGGGGTTGATCCTAACAAGAAAGAGAGCAACATTTCATATAAGTTCAAGTTCACTACAAGATTCAACTGAAACTAACAGTACATTTTAACCCACAGCTAGTTGAACTAAAAACTATAATCAAAGTTAATCGACCCTCTAAACTGAGTCCATTACCTCCTCATTATCATTATTACTAAATGATTGGGTGGAATAACTAACTTCACTTTGAACTGAACGATTAAATGGCATTTACATACACATATAGATGTTTATAATAAGATAAGAAAATATTAAAGTAGTTCAATTGACCCCATAAACGGTTACCAATGACTCTGTTATATCTCTAAGACCTTAATTAGCAGAACTAGAAACCGGAATGTATAACTATCTTACTATCAAACAGTCTATAGAATGGACTAGTAAGTCTAAACATTTAGAGCTAGCTCAACTGAAGTACTAGGATAGATGCATTAATCCCATTGAGTTCACTCACCCCGGACTGGGATAGCAGGTGGTGATGGTGAGGCGGTCCTCCAGCGTCCTGGCGTCGAACACGGCGATCCGTTCGTGGAACGTGATGACCACCGCCGATCGATTGGCCTGGATGTCCAGCACGGCGTTCTTGAACTTGATCGTCTTGACCTGGACGCCCGTCTTGAGGGACATAAAGTTCACGGCACTGAATTGGGCGGCGGCCGATACGCCAATACCGCCAACTCCTCCACCCGATCCACCGACTATTGTGATTCCACCGCCTCCGCCGCCGCCACCCAAGCCCAATCCCGAGTTGCCAGCCAGTAGACCGCTGGCCGCTGCACTGCCTCCATCGACAAATGCCACCAGGGGACGTTTCTCGGCAAAGGCATCGACCGGCTCATCCGCCCGCCCATTCTCGTCCAGGGCAACAGCCGTGGCCGGCGTGGGCAGCACCCGTAGGGCAGTGACGACGCCGTGACGCCAGGATAGCACCTCAACGGCCTCGCCGTTGGCCGGAATGGCCCACACTTGGACGCCCAGACCGTAGCCGAGTATCAGGAGCAGTGGCGGCGCTGCATTCCCCTCCAGCTCCCAGTCGTCGCCGAAACGCGGATCGCTAACATCCGCACACGTTTCGAAGCGGGCCCAGGTGATGGTGTCCTTGGGATCTTGCACCGGCTGATTGGCCAATGTCACTTCATTGATGAAGCCAATGGCCGAGTCGAGGATCGAGCGATCCGACACTGTTTGCGGCGGCACAATGGCGGGCACGGCGGTGCCCGATTTGCTGCTGCTGCCGGCCGAACCGGAGCCAGAACCGGATCCGGATCCGGAGCTCGATCCAATGCCAGAACCGACCACGCCGGAGGGATGGCGGCGTGGCGAGTCCGCGGACATGATGCGGTGGCTGATGGGGGGGATGGCCGGTGGTGGCTGCTGCTGGCCGCCGGAATCGCTCCTCTTCTAGCTGCTACCACAGCTGCTGCCAATGATGCAGTGCCTCCACACTGGAGGTCAGTGGACGGCGGGCGGCTGGGGGTGGCAGTGGGCAGTGGGTGTTGCTCTCTCTCGTTCTCTCTTTCTCTCGCTTATGCTATTTCTCTCCTGGAGACACTGCGTCTGATCGGTTCTTGCTTTCCCCCGCTCGTTCGCTCTCTTTCTGTCTGGCTCTCTTGTTGTCAACTGCAAATAGAAAGCAAAAACAATAAATAAACAAATTGAACAATCTCACACATGCATCTTCCCCGCTCACCGCTTCCCACTTTTCACACTCTCTTTAGGGTGAACCCCAATAAGCGGACAGGCGACCTTTGCCCCAATATGTGAAATGGGAACTTGTAGTTTGAAGATTTTGTGATGATAGTCGCTCAACCTTTTGTTGGCTTATTTTGCAAGTCATTATTATTCATTATGTGTGTTGACTCATTGCACAATACAAAGAAATTGAAATTCGACTGTAAACTGGTTGTAAAAAATATGATAAAATAAACTTGATTTGACAATCAGAATAATCCATATACTTTTTAGTTCCTATGCCTATCTTAACAATAGTCGAATTTTTAAACCCACCAAAAATGAATATTATTACATCACTCCCTATAAGAAAAACAATATTTTGTTTGCCTTACAAAGGGCGACACTACGTATGAGCGATAAAATAAACCAGCAACAACGATGATTAAACAGTGAAATAATGTCCACCCTAATGCGCACATTTCATAGTTTCTTTTGGTCATTCCATTCCGTTCCGTTTTCCCTTTGTCTCAATCAAAAAGCTTTAATCTTTGGACAGAGCCAGCCCCCCACCACCCACTGTCACCTTCAGCACCACCCCCCTTTTCCCACCACCAATTTACGCTCTCTTGTTACCAATTTATTAGCGCATTACGTGGATTTTCTGCTCTACACTTTGTTTTTATTTTAATTTTAATTTTTCGGTTGCTTTCTGTCCCCCTTTGCTTTTGTCAATTCCGATTCCATGGGGCGCACATAAAGTGCAATAAAATAACAACAAAATACGCTTACAAATTGAACGTATGTTTGTTTAAAAAAAGCAAAAAAAAACTACGCAAAAAGTTAAACAATATTTGTTGTTTTTTTCACACTGCCAACGCGAAAACAAAACAAGCTCCAAACCACAACAACAAACCTCAAAGTCACGCAGAAATCATCAGGCCATTTGCTTTGGCTTCTAGTTTTAGTTTTCAGTTCCGTTTTCAGCTGCGATTCGCCAGCAAAACGCAATATGCAAACACAAAGAAGCTCTCTGTTTCCCCCACTTATTGGAAATAACCGTTTAAGCCAAGCCACAGATCTCTTTCTCCCCTTTCCATTTGGGAAAACGAAAAAGGAATTGAGCGAGAAGAGCAAACGATAGAGCAACAATTGTCCAGAAAAGGAAAACTTATTAACCCTCATGACCCCACAAGAAATTAATGTTGAGAATAACATTCCAAATAATTTGTCTCAAGGAAAATTTCTATGTAATTATCGTTACCAAACTTATAGAACCTTTATAGCTTTTGCCATTTCACAACAAATTTTAAAATAATAATATTGCTAAAATTAACAGTTCTAAAGTCTATCGAAATCTAATTTCTAAGAAGCTTGTTCATATTGATCTATTTTAATGCTATCAATTTGTTTGTTTCCAATTGACTGGTGACCCAAAACTAGACTTATACCCCCGTTAAATTCCGAATAATATAATATTTGCACACCTCCAAAAACTTGTCGTTTAAATTTGTATCAAAACTAAAAACATATTTATAATTCTTCGTCTATCTCCCAAGTGGTCATTCATTAATTATTCAATCCGTTCAGAGGACAGCAGGTGAACGATCCCTATCGAGATTATTACTTATTCAGTAAATACATAGGCAGTTTGCAAAACTTTTCCACGTGTGGTTGCAATTGATTAAACGAGTATTTCGCCACATATAGATAGAAATGAGGTAATTACCAAGTTATACTTATATATATACAATATACATACGTATGCACATGGCATATAGTATTCCGTATTGGAATTGGCAAATGATAAGGCACGAAGTCGTGTTGTAAAGGCGTAATGATTCAATTAAACGCTTGTAAAAATTGCGAAATTCCAAAGAGGAATTACTTTGGAGCACTTGAAGTTCCCGAAAGAAACAATAAATGTATGATGGGTGGGGGGGCTTAAGGGTTAAGCCCCAAAAAAAAATGGGTATCATCATAAAGCGGGGAGTGGGGGTGTGGGAAGAGTGCAGCTGCATCGCTGCATTCCTCAATTGGCTTGGCACACGCGCAACAAAAACAAAAACAATAACTGTAATAGCAACAAGCAATGTCACACACACACCCAAAGGCTACTTGTGTGAGAAAGAGATGGCCTCCCACCCCCTGGCTGTTCCTCTCTCCCTCCCACCCACGGCGACCATAAGTAACGCATTTGTCTTTGTTCAGCAATAGGCATCCAAACGGCATTAATTTCGTTGGGGGAGAAAGAGAAAGACCCCTCAATGTTAATACAGTCAAGCTTCCAAAAAAGGCATTCCAGCATTAAAATTTTGGGTCACCAAATATTTACTGAAAAAACATTTTTAGAGGATTTTAGCTACACTTATTGTAAAACAAAAAAAAACTATTTTGCAATTATATCTATAAATATGTATAAACATTATAGCTATAAACACATACACATAAATGTAGCTCATTGTCACATAAGTCGAAAAACACGATTTTTGAGTTAATATTGAAAAAATAACATTTTTTTGTGTCAAGCTCTATGTTATGAAAAAAATGCATCATCCTATTTTTCATATACAGAATATTGAATCGCGTTGCTAAAAGACAACTGTACTAAAAACCTAGATCAAATCTTACATTGCCTACAATGTAAGTTGTAGAAACTAAAAAATTCGCTAAAGTTGTGTTTCTAAAACAATTTCCAGCTTCTGATTTGTGTTTCAAAACTTCGATTTTTGAAAATACTATACATTATTTAAAAATTGCATCATCCTATCTTTAACACACAGAACGTGAAAAAATATTGGTGTCTTGCTAAAAGACAACGATTCTAAAAAACCCTTTTTTTAATACAAATATTTTTTTAGATTTCCGTATCAAGCTAGATCACATCTTAAATAATCTAAACATTTACATTTTACAAGCTTTGATTTCAAAATGTTAACCAGGCAGTTATCTAATAGTATTCTTTTTATGGAAGTTAGCCTGTACCTGCCCTCGCATTAGTTTACACGTATCCTTGACACTCGATCAATTCCACAGCAAGTTCAAGCCAACGCATAAACGAATCTCGGGCTCAAATGCAATTGCAGAAAGAGAGGAAGAGAATGCAAAAGGAAAAGAGAAACCCCAGCATGTTTTTTGTTCCTCGTTTTGGGCCCATTGTTTATGCTGCCCATTGCCAAAAGCCACTTGACAAAATCTCAGCAAGTCTCTTTTCCCTTTTCTTTTGTTTCCTTTTACGATAGCCAAAGATAGCCAACAATAGCTCACTCGCACACGATTGCAATTCGCGAACAGGTGTTACTATAAATACCAGCACACACCGTTTAGATACATATTAGACATGCAATTTCATCCGTTCTAGTAATAAAAACGTGTTTTTTAGGCTGTGAGTAACAGCAGCTTAAATGCAACAAAAGCAATGGTTACCAGTGCTAATAATACACCACAAAATAGGAAATATATTATATTTAGAATTTGATATGTTCCAAACAAATGCGGGGATGTCAATTCATTTGCATATATTACATGCCAAATTAAAAGAACTCTCTTCATAATTGATATTTTTAGCATTTTTGTTCCCCCAAGTTGCACGTAGGTACTTTATAAAGTATCTGTGAAACGGATTCTATATAGAACAAGTTCATCAACCCACACACAGCTGATTATTTTCACTAGATTACGAACGAAATAATTTCTATTGAAGCAGATTAAAGAGGAATACGTATATCAGTCACACACGCCCCCGTACACCTCATCAGATGATAAGGCTTCTGGGTTTCCGTCCGCACGTCCCTCAACCTTTGGCAGTCCTTGGATGCGAACAAAGGAACCCCTTGGTCTAGAGTAGATAAAACTAACCTATAGGCCATGTACCTACCGCAGTAGAACCTTTTCGAAATGAACTGCCTGAAGCCCTAACTAAACTCAGTTTTAAAGGAGGTTAACTGTGATAAATTCTCATTGTTTAAGGTATAAGATCACATTAATCCACAAATGTATCAGTCAAAAAAAAAAAAGTTCGATGATTTTAAGTTAACACCCCTTTTAATTTTAATATATGATATATTTAACTTTATAAGAAAGATTTAAAAAGCGACTACAATTTAAAATATAATCTTTTCTCAATTTTTCTAAACTATGTAATTGATTATGTAGATTGTACAGAGATTATATTATTAAAATTATACAAGGAAACCCCGCTTTTAATTTTTATAGACATTTTCCAGAAGCATTATCCATGGGCATGATACTAAAATTAAAAAAAAAATTATTTATGGTTCTGAATCTAGTATAATATCAAGAAAATAATTGAGTTAAATGAAATATTTTTAAAATACCAAATATAAATGTTCAGTAAGAGATAAAAATGAGTAAAATAAGACATAAATTAGCAAATACATTCAGTAATTATCAAAGACGAATTTACTTTATTAAAGCCCCACTGTAGTGCTGACAGGCGGAATGCAATTTTCGCTTTTTTTTATGTTTTGTTCTTCTGCTTTTGTGTTTCTGCTTATTTTCAATGACACCCACCCACTCGCCCAAACATTGCCAGATTTTTTGGCAAACATTTCTATTAGGTAAAATCACAGATGGGCCAGGGGGGAGGAGGGGGCGAAGGAGGAGATGAAGAAGAGCAGGCGGATACTGGGGGTGGCAATTGAAAAATGTCACTTTTAATGTGCGTTTTAAATTCGTAAATGAAGCGAAAACAATTTGTGCCATTCAAATATTTTTGTTATTTTTTGATTACACGACCAGCGTGTTGTTTTTGTCATTGTTGTTGTTGTTGTTGCCCTTAAATACAGTTGGAAAACAAAGAGCCAAAAGCAGAGCAATTATCAAAATATATACACAAGTCAGAAAGCACAAGTGAGAGAGGGATAGAGAGAGAGAGGGAGAAGAGAGCCGAAAACGAAAACAAAACTAACACACATTCAGATGCACTTGAATGCACACACTAACGCATTTGCAGCAACTCAGCTGCAACGAAATTTTGTTGTTGCTCTCTCTCGGAGCGTCGCACAGTGGAGTAAATGCATAAAGCACATTCTTAGGTGTACATATATGAAAATGTTTATGTACTAAATAAAGAACAGGTGATTTGGCGTTATAAGTAAAGAATATCTGAACAATAATAATGTATTTAAAAATATGTTCGAAATCTAGATCTGCTTAAAATCTTCCCTGTCAAATTCAAATTTTCAGAATAATAATAACACACATTTGTTTTCTTTAAACCTTTGATCTCTTCACTTTTTAACCACTGTGCCCAAATGTGTTCCACTATCAGTCCGTTTCGTTTCCACTGCTTTGTTGTTGCCCGTCTAATGCGCACATACACACACATGTTTACATATATAAGCGAGTGTATCTGTGTGTGATTTTTTTCCTTCATTGTTTGTGTTTTGAAATATTGTTTTTTTCGCGTCACAGCCAAAACAAAATTTCCACTACTTTTGACATTTAAATAACAGCAAATACTTGGTGGTACAAAAATTTCTGCTCTCTCTTTCCACTTCTCTTCGTACCCTCGATTTTCGCTCTATTCTTGGCTCTTTGTTTGCACAATTTACACGTCTGTGATTTCGACAGAGCAACAATAAACAAATAGTTGCATAAATAGAGGTTTGATTTTCGATTTACATATGTATATACACGATTTTTTGTTCTATCTTTTACGTTTCTTTTTTTTTTTGCGCGTCAAACAAAAACAACTAGAAGAAGAGGAAGAACTTACCACTTGCGTTGTTGTTGTTGCTGTTCGTTGGTTGAATCTGAATCAGCAGCTGAAACACAACTCGTTCCACTTTTCTCACACGTTCCGCAGAGCGCGCGCAAAAACAACAACACAAACAAAAATCATATGTTTTCAGCTGCTCGCTCTCTTTTGGTCTCTATGCCTCTCTCGCTTGCGTTAGCTTTTGTTGTTGATTTCCTTCTGCTGTTGTTGTTGTTGTTGTTGTTCTTGTTACTGTTGTTTTTCGAGCTCCTCTTTTTTATTATCTTCGTTTGTTGCAGGCGGCAGCAGCAGCAACAAAAATCTCCAACTGCGTCTTGCTTTTCCTCTCTCTTTCTATCCGCCCCCTTTTTGTTGCTTTTAATTATTTGTTTTCTTGTTGTTTTGCCACGCCCTCTAAGTGTCGTCGCTTAATTTTTTTCGGGCTACTACTAATTAATTTCAGCTTTTTTCGAAACGCGCAGCCAATTCTCAACTGCGGAGCTCGAGTTTTGTTTGAAAAAAACTGAACTTTTTTGTTTCTTCCTCTTCTGCCGCTGCCGCCGTCGACGCAGAGCCCTATTGCTGGCTCACTCGCACTCACACACACACGCACACGCACCAATACAGACACAACGACTGCGCTGCGTCGTACGTTTTATTTTTTTGGACTTCTTTTTCGTCGTTTTTCGTTTATGATTTTGTTATTGTTGTACTGCCTACTGCCAATGTTGTTGTTGCTGCACAAAAAGTAACTGCGACATTCAAATTAATTTTGCAATCGTTCGCCTTGTTTTTGAACTCTCCGTTAACTTGTATATATATATATATATATGTATCGATTAAAGACGATTTATGCGTCGCAACAGAAAAAAAAAATAGAAAATAACCAAGAGAGACTGCTGCCAAAACGAAAGGGAAAAAAAACTAGTACTAGCTGGTCTGACTGCTAGCGAGCGTTTGCCTTTATTCGTGTAATATCTTCAGCGGACACTTAGTATTATTAATTGTTATTATTTTGGTTGCTGCGCTGTTTCTGTCTCTGTTTTTTGTCTCTCTCTTCTGGGTGCTGGGCCAATGTGACCGTGGCGGCTAGAAACCAAATGCCCAATTGGCAGGGTGTTTACGGTACGGTCGAAAGTAGCTGTTGGCGATTTGACCATCTCTAGTTTGGTGTGACCAGGCCTGGGCTTTCGGTAATAAATAACTAAATATACCAAACTAAGTTATATCTGATAAGGAAAATAATCAAATTCAAAAGCTTTAAAATTATAAAGCCTAGTTCGTTAATAGCTTCGTATAAAATACAAAAATCAAGTTAGTACACACCTAACATATTTTAGAACACCTTATTTGACCACATTTCATTGCAAATATTTGGGCTTTAAGGTACCTATAATTTGAATTTTACTTTAAGAAATCTTGACAGATTAATGTCAATGAAAATGAAAGTTTAAAAGAGTTGAATCATATATTTATACGTTTCATTTTTACTATTTTTTTATAACCTACCAATTTGAGCTTTTTATGAGTCAGTATTTTTTAGTATGTTATTGCCCTAGGCCTGGGCATATTCAGAGCAACGCCATCTGGCAACACTGGCGCTGCATTAGCGGCAAAAGAAATAAGTTTTTTGCCATTAGTTCTGTCGCACAACAATTATAAAGCTCGGCCAGCTGGGTTGGTAAGCGATCCGCATCCGTCCGTGATCTGTTTGTAGTTCCAGGACCCATCTAATCCTGCCCTGCAATATTTTTGCAATCCAAAGCCACAACGGCACATTGTGTTTGTTGTTTTTCGAAATTCGCAAAGTGTGTGTTTTGTTGCGGTTGCGCCAGTGTGTGTGCGTGTGTGTGTGCGCTCGCGTGTGTGTGGTAGGTTGTGTTTTGGTATCCAGAGTGAGTTCATCCAAAAAGAAAAAGGAGGAGAAAAATGGAAATGAAAATGTTATATGTTGAAAATATTATATTTGGGTCAAATCTGTGTGCGTGTGTGTGTGTGTGGGTGCCAGTGTCTGCGTATAATACACTCTTTCATTTATTTTTTTTCTCCTTAATTTCCTTGCGCCTTACTTTCGTTTTCTTTGCGCTTTGTTGTTTTGCTGGTCCGCATGTTTGTTGTTATTGTTGCACGCGCTTCTTCTGCCGGCGCAACGAATTCGATTTATTTATAAAACGAAGATTTATACATGTTTAAATAATCTGCTCTAAACAAATGCAGGCAAAATGAAAAGCTGTATGTATGTGTGTGTGTGTGGTGCTGTGACCTTCGTGCAGTTTTGCAATTAGAAAAGGGGGGAGAAGAAAGGATGAGCAAAAGAGGTCCTGTGATAGTTGGTAATGCAATCAGATCGCTGCATGTCTGTGCGTGTTTGTGTGAGTGCTGGTATTTTCCCAGCTTTAATTCAATTTTCCGAGAGCAACAAGCACTTAAGGTTTTAAAACAATTACACACGGCTCACTCTTACAGTTTGAAAGCTTTTTAATCAGGCAATTTACCTTTACCTTCTATTTGTTATTTTCCACTTTTCTGGCTTTCCCCTCTTTGCAGCACAGGAGCGGAGGCGGCGGAAAAAGAGAGAATAACAGAGAAACAAACCAAAAGACACGGCAAATCAGTCTAGTCAACAAAAGCAGACCAAATGAGCACGCACTTCGAGACTAACGAGCAGCACAAACTAAGCCAAAAATAAAGCTAAAGATAAAAGAGAGGCAGAGGCAGAAGGTAGCAGCTGAAGGCAGCATCATCACACTAGCACTTCCCACTACACTGAGCGAAATCGAGACGAAAATCGCCAGCAAGATGCGGGTGGTGGCCATGGTCAGCGGCGGCAAGGACAGCTGCTACAACATGATGCAGTGCGTCGCCGAGGGCCACGAAATCGTCGCCCTGGCCAATCTGCATCCCAAGGACAGAGGTGAGTGCCTAAAGGTCTGGAAAGTACAAAGATTCCATCATATCAAAGCAAAGGATATAGGAACCATGTCATATTTCAATTTTATAAGCTCTTTGATAGACCAAAAAGCCCATAACTATAGTACCCATGCTGGCTATCCAAAGAATATTTACATAGGTTCAATCATATCAAACCAAAGGATATAGGAACCATGCCATCTTTCAATTTTCCAAGTTTTATGATAGACCAAAAAGCACATATCTATAATAACTATAATTTCAAGGCAAAAGAATATTTTACTTAGGTTCTATCATATCAAAACCAATGGATATACATACATAGGTACTCAATATATGCAGTCCTTTCATATTTCAATTTTCTAAGCTATGTATATGATCGACAAAAAGCACATCTGTAACTATAGAACCAACCATTTCAAGGCAAAGTAAGATTTTACATAGGTTCGATCATATCAAACCATAGGATAGGATATAGGTAGTCAATATATGTGTATGCAGTCCTTCCTTATCTACATTTTATAAGGTTTATGATCGACCAAAAGGAACATAACTATTCTATCCACCATTTCAAACCTTTCTGAATTTCATTGACTTGTCCTCATATGCAAACAAATTTTAGGGAATCCTTTAGTTTCCAAGTCAGCTTTAAGATACATATATTACAAAAAAGGGGCCTTAGGGTAAATATAAATATAAATTCTCTAAATATAACAAATAAATATGATTTTTCCAGATAATTCCTATAGCAATTTTCTAAACCATTTCGTCGTGTTGTACTAAATAAAACCTAATACGTTTTTAATCACGTTTGGAAAGTTTATTGTTAGAATCTGTCTGACCTTAAATGTTGTAAAGTTCATTTCGAAATCAATTTGATTTTAACCCAGTTAACCCAAACTTTTGAAACAAAGCATAAAAATAAATCGTATAGTAACTATTTACCACTTAGGGGGCCCTATTTGAAATTCAATTAAAGTGTGACAAACAATTTCCAGCCTGTCACATTTCATTTGAACCTTAATAATAAAGCTTAAAAATAAGTTTTTTCAAAAAGCCAATCGACTAAAATAAAAAAAAAAGGTCTGGGAAATAGTCTTTAAAATGTATAGATAGGCAGATTCGAGCGTGTTATTATTAATGCCTTATTATTATTTGCGCAATCATTTACCACCGATTCGCGTTGTACCCCCAGCCATTTGATCTCCCGCCGTTGACTCTAAATTGTTACTTTCCAGACGAACTGGACAGCTTTATGTACCAGACGGTCGGCCACATGGGCATCGAGATTCTGGCCAGCGCCATGGGATTGCCGCTCTACCGGCGCGAAACCAAGGGCAAGAGCACCCAGACCGGCAAGCAGTACGTGCCCACCGATGACGACGAGGTCGAGGATCTATATAGTCTGCTGGAGACATGCAAGGTGATTGATTGCTTAATGATTGCTCTGCCCCCTTTCCAACCCTCAATCTTAGATTAAACTTGGTGATAAGAAACCTGGGGAAATCGACTGCAATTGCCATTGCTATCGTATGCCTACAAATTCAAGGAAACGAGCTCCCAAATACCCTTTAAAAGTTTCAAGTTGAACAGAGAAAATAATACTAGCTAATTGTGTTTGATATATTTATTTTAACTATAAGAAACCTTGAAAATAATACCAAATAATACCAATTCGATTTGTTTAATCCAATGAAATCAACGGCAACTGCTACAGTATGCGTTTTAACTCAAGTTAAACAGAGAAAGTAATACCATCTATAGGGTTCGATATGTTTATTCTTATGAAATCAATGGCAATTGCTATCGTATGCCTTTAAGTGCAAAGAACCAAGTTATGAAATACCCTTTAAAAGTCTTTAAATAAACAGAGAACATAATACCGTCTATAGGGTTCGATATGTTTATTCTAATAATCTGAAACCTGGGGAAATCGACTGCAGTTGTTATTGTAGGCCCCCAAATTCAAAGAAACAAATTCCTAAGTACCCCTTTAAAGTCTCAAGTTAAACAAAAAAAATACCAGCTATAGGGTTCGAAATGTTTATTATAATGAAATCGACTGCTGTTGCTATGGTATCAAAGAAACAAGTACCCAAAGACCCATTAAAAAAACTCAAATTAAACAAAAAATAATACCGTCTATGGGGTTCCATATGTTTATTCTAATAACAGGAATCCACAGGAAACCGAGTGCAAATGCTATTGCTATTGTATGTCTTAAATTTCAAATAAACAAGTCCCCAAACCCCTTTTAAAAGTCTCAAGCTAAACAGAAAATAATACGATCCATAGGGTTTAATATGTTTATTTTAATGGGGCTACCTGAGTAGTCTAGAACAAAATTGAATCGTATAAGTTTCATTTGTTTACCTCATTAGCCATTACTGTTGACATTAATTAGAATTACTTGTTTATGCCTCCTCGCAATCCTGCTTATTTTCCTAAAATCGCCAATGATTGTTATCAGATATAGTTATATCATATAGCACTGTGGTGAAAATGTTTTTTACTGTTTGTATAGGTTTACTTAGACAGTAAGAATACCCCTTTCCCTGAAGATGATAAACGAAACCCAAATGCGTAGAGTTTCAGAGGGTTTAAGGATCATTAACAATAGCTTTTAACAAAGAGTTTTTGGATATCTCTGAATATAAGTTGGTTTTAAGTAATTCTTATCATTTGTAATACTTTTATCATGAAAACTCAAGTTTAAGTTAATAGCTCTGAACTTTTTTTCATTTAACCAATATTATTAAAGAGTTCAATATTATTTTGCGCTGTGTGAAGGGTTAGCAGAGCTATCAGATCAGGGATTGTATCCGCGCTTGTTGTGCCGCGTCCTTGGACTTTTATAACTTTTACTCGTGCCCACTCATCCTCGCTCCTCATCAATCAACTGCAGCTCAGATTGCAAACTGCAACCACAAACCGCTCCGTAATTGGGTGGCACATCTACAGCCACATCCATTTGCGATGGGAAGTCGCCGGGCGGTAATCTTATCGCGATGCCCGACCAATCGAGACGGGACCGAAACTGTTGCCGTGCACGTGAATCGACCGGGTTGAATAAAATACGACTAAATACAAACAAATTGCAGCACAAAACCGCAGCGAAAGCCCGAAACCGAAAACCAAAACAATAACAATACGAGTAGGAGTGTAGGTAATCGCACAAATTGTTTATTTACCCCTCGATACATAAAGAAATTGAACCTGCCAAGGAGAACTTATGATGATGATTACAGTTTTGCAGCCATCGGGCATTAATAACCGGCTATCACTATCGGGGCTCTCAAACTGTAATTACATTTTTGCATTCCTTTAGCTGATATCGCGAAATGCCTTCCCTTTTTTTATTATAATTTTCGCTTTATTTTTACTCGTCGCTTACATTACAATTTAATCTGCTTTGAGCTGATAGGAAATTAATTACATTCGGAAAATCCCATTTATAAGAACACTCACCCTGGGGCTTGTTTTTCGAGGAAAAATTGGTTTCTATACTTAACTCAATGGCTCTTTTGCATGGTGTTTCGGGTTTCTAGGCAGCTTAATTTCTTTAACGTTGAAAAAGTTGATAAGAAAGTAATTATATTTTTGGGTAATGAAAGTTAAGATCTATTTACTTATTTATTAAAGATACATTTTATAAAGCTAAGACTAAGTTAAGGAGGGTATTGGGTAATTTTATAACAATATACAAAATATAAGTTGGTTATATTTTTGGTTTTCAGATTATTTTGTATATTTTCTGTGGCTTGATAAACGTTAAGACCTAAGAACTATGAACTAACCTGAAGCACTTCGCAATTACTTATCGCTTTGGTATTGTACACAGATATATAGATGTCTTATATCTTATTATAATATAAATAAAACTACTACTACAAAATATAAGTGGGTTATCTTCATGGTCTTCAGAACATATTGTGTACATTTTATTTTCGAACTTTAATATTGTTATTATATTTTCTGTTGTTTGATACAAGTTGAGATCTAAGAACTATGCAGTTCTTAAAGCACTTGTCGCTTTGAGACTGTGAACAGATCTATAGTTGTCTTATATATTAATATCATACCTTATTTTATTTTAAGGTCTCAGAATTGCTCTTTAAATTCTCTTAAATTTATATCTGAATGTATAATAATAATACTAATTTGTACATTTACTTTGGCTCCATTGACAGCACGAACTTCAGGTGGATGCGGTGGCCGTGGGCGCCATCCTGTCGGATTACCAGCGCGTGCGTGTGGAGAACGTGTGCAGCCGCCTGAACCTGATATCCCTGGCCTACTTGTGGAGGAGAGATCAGACTGAATTGCTGCAGGAGATGATCGACTGCCAGGTGCACGCCATCATCATTAAGGTATTGAATGAGTCGACCATCACTCTCGGATTCCTCAAAAAAAAAATAGAAAACAAACACCTTCGTTGGTTGGCAAATTTATAAGGAAACGTTTAGGAACTTTAGCAATCAGTTTCTGAGGACTTATATATTATTAGATAAACCTGACATCTGTCGGTTTCATAATCGTATCGAATCCAATTCCATTTCCTCAGCTGAGTTGTCATTCGTGCTAAATTTAGCCCATGTAAACAAACGCTCGAGTTGCTCAGCTGAAAATGATCTATTTCACCTGAATTCCACTTCATTTGCCATATGCAATGTCTGTAAAATTAAATTATTTACTGTTTGCCCATCAATTTGAATCTTCAACATGTATTGTACGCAAAATGAACAGCATAGTAACACATTAGTAATAAGAAATAGGGTAAATTGAGTTCTCACTATATTATATGCGTATAAGAGGGGCCTGGCTAAGTGAAGAAATCATTTTATAATGTAGGGTAGAATGAAAGAAATGTGGGTACTTAATATTGAATACTATAACACAATAATGTATATGTAGAACAGCACAAAAATAGGAGATGAAATGAGCCATTTGTTACTTAATATACCATTTAAATTTATTTTTAGTCTTGGTAAAGTGGAAAATATTGTGAACAAAGAGATGGGAAATGGTAAATCAATTAGAAAAATTAAGTTATACTATCATGAAGGAAGGATAGAATAGGATACTCGTAGAAAATGGGGTATCAATATGAAAGGATAGTACAAGATACCCAAAGCATTGTAAATCTGCCCTCCATCGAAGGTGTTGCGTGTCGCAATATTCCCCCGCTTAACCATCCATGGCGCCTCCATCTCCCCCGATATCCCGGACACAGGTGGCTGCCCTGGGCCTCGTGCCGGATCGTCACCTGGGCAAGTCGCTGCGCGACATGCAGCCGCACCTGCTGAAGATGCGCGACAAGTATGGACTGAATGTGTGCGGCGAGGGCGGCGAATATGAGACATTCACCTTGGACTGCCCGCTCTTCCGGCAGCGCATCGTTGTCGAGGACATCCAGACGATCATCAGCAGTGCCGATCCCATCTGCCCGGTGGGCTACATCAATTTCACCAAACTGACGCTGCAGCCAAAGGAGGCGGCGGGCGCGGCCAGCGGCGGCGGCGGCTGCGGCGAGGTTGTGTTCGTGAAGCGTTCACTCGACTATATTAGCGATCTGAACGAATCGACGTACAGCGACCTCAGCGATCCGGACTTTAGCGAAACGGAGCTGGAGCTGATCGAGAAGGAGACAAGGCTGCGCGAATCGCTTAGCCAAAGTGAGCTGATCTCGCGCAGCAACTCCTTTGGCCGCCATCTGGCCGCCACCGCCTCCTCGCCGATACCCATTGTCACGAAGAGCGCCAGCGTCGACGAGCCCACAGCGGCGGCGGCGGCAACCACGATCCTGGGCGGTGGGCTGGGTGGACCGCCGATATGTTCCACCTCAGCCTGTGCGTCCATGCTGCTGGCCACCACCGCCGACGGCCTGAGCAGCCTGGCCAGCTCACAGAGCCACGGCGGTGGACATGGGCTAGGCAGCAGCACGGCCGCCGTGTGCGGCTCGCTGTCGCTGGCCATCTCCTCGCTTGGGCTCAGCGCCAATACCTGCTGTCATCCGGGCGGAGCTGGAGGAATAGGAGTGGGAGGAGCAACCACTTCGGCCATCACACAGCCGCCCAGTCCGCTGAAGTACGAGCGGGAATTCCGTCCACTGGCCAACGAGGCCAGAGCGGCCATCAATGCCAAGGGCTGGATGTGGCTGGCGGGCATACAGGGTATCCAAAGAGTCTCTATTGCATCTCTATACTATCACTTCCGAAGAGCACGGTGGTCACTAGAGCTTAGAAAGATAACTAATTTGATTTTTGTATTAACAGTCACATACTTTTGTCGAACTTGTTGGGTGTTATTTATATATGTTTTAATATAAGCAATCTAAAATCAACTTAGGCTTATAAAAACTAATATTTCACTTCAACTAAACCTACGTTAATACTTATATTATTTAAATCAGTAACAATACTTTGTTTGCATTAACTAGTAACTAATTAGGCTAGCTTTTTTCAAGTGACCACTTTGCTTTATCTTTTTTCCACTACAACATGATTGTTAACCCTTTGCTTAATCCTATCATAGGCTCCGGATCGGAGGGCATGGAGCAGGGAATGGAGCAGGCTCTGGACACGCTGCGCGACATGTGCCACGCCAAGGGCTACGATCTGCAGGATCTGTGCTATGTCACGCTCTACGTGCGCTCGATTGGCGAGTATCCGGCGCTGAATCGTGTCTACCATCGCGCCTTCGACTTCCATAATCCACCGACGCGCGTCTGTGTCGAGTGTCCACTGCCCGATGGCTGCCATGTGGTGATGGAGGCCATCGCCTACCGTCAGCCAGTGGCCGGTGCGATATCCAGTGCCGAGGAGCGGGATCGCGAGGGCGAGGAGACAGCAGCGGCGCTGCTCAACGGGCGTCGGAACACGATGCATGTACAGGGCATCTCGCACTGGGCACCGGCCAACATTGGTCCATATAGTCAGTCCACCAGGGTGAGACTATCCAGTACATATAGAGATCACAAGATCCCATTTGCTACATTGATTTATCGCATTTAAAAAGCCGAGACTTATACCCAAATCTCTTTCAGATTGGCGACATCACCTACATCTCCGGCCAGATCGCCCTGGTGCCCGGCAGCATGACAATCATCGAGGGCGGCATCCGTCCGCAGTGCAAGCTCACCTTGCGCCACATCAGTCGCATTGCCAAGGCGATGAACGCACACGGCCAGCTGCGGGATGTGGTGCACGGCATCTGCTTTGTGACCCATCCGGCCTTCATCGCGGAGGCGCGTCGCCAGTGGGAGCGTCGCACCACCAATGCCATCATGGACTACATAGTGCTGCCGGCGTTGCCGCGGGAGGCCCTGGTGGAATGGCAGGTGTGGGCGCACACCCACAACGATCGATTCGACTGTAAGGCCGGCAAAGCGGAATCACTTCAATCTCCAAATCGAATCACTATTTGTTAATCTGTTTCGCAGACGAGGAGACTGGCTGTTCGGTGGGCGACTACACCATCTCGATACGTCGTCGCTGGAACTACGAGAACAACTGTGCGGCCATTGTGTGCTACGTGTCCACCGGGTTGGCCTCGTCCACCACCCAGCTGACTCAGCTGAGCGACGACATCCTGGGCAACCACTGCCGTCTGGCGCAATCGGTTAGTGCCGAGCATCTGGACGAGATTCTGACCTATGTGGTGAATCGTCTGCTGAAGGACTATCCGCTAGCCAAGAAGCAGCCGCAGCAGCAGCCGCCGTCGAATTCGGCTACACCACCTGCCACGCCAACACAACCAGGCGGCGCTGGCGGGGATCAGCAGCAACCAGTGCCGGCAATCCACCTGAAGTTGTTCTACCAAGTGAATGCCGCTCCGGCAACGGATGTACTGCTCCAGGCACTGCACGATTTCCGTCTCAAGTGCCAGGATACGGCCGCCATTGTCTACACAGTGCTGCCCGCCTGCAGCCTGCACAACTTCAGTACGTTCCTGTCCATTTGTGGAGTGAGGCACGAGTAGGAGCCCCACGCAGGGTAATGGAGGATGAGGATGAGAACGGGGATAAAGATAAGGATGAGGATGATGAGGAGGAGGAGGAAAATGATGAAACAATTTGCTGCCACCGCACCAAGCAGAACACAGAATATATATATATACACCACTATATATACACAGATATATGTATAATGGATGGGTCCCTATTTGGTTTGACAAAGAATCGCATCGTCAGAAAGTAAACTTTGGATAATTGCGAGCCAGTTGGTTTTCAAAACTAAGCATCTATATAATAAGAGTCAAAATATTAATTATTTTGTAATGCTTCCAACACAATAACCGTTTGCCTGTTGTAAATGGGAAAAATCAAATTAATTTTCTAATTGCATTTTTTTTTTTAAATAATTAAACGTCTTCGTAAATTATTTCACATATTCCCTTAATCTTTTGTGCATGCAGAATTATCACAGGACCAACTGCCAAATATTATACAGACTTTACTTTCTGTCCCAACATTTTTCAGTTTGCATAAAATACAAATCGACCCACTTAAATGTAAAATCAGCTTGCCCTTTGTTGATATTGTTAACTAGCAGATGATCCTAAGATCGGAAAGGTGCCGTAGAGCCTGCATGCGTATCCATAGAATAGCTCACTTCGTGTCGCAGTTTCGGACCAAACTCTCTCACAAAAGAACAAAAAAAACCAAAAACACTCAAATCGGATCTATGCAACTCAAGTGTTTCAGCAACTAGCGAAGGAAAACCAAGCATACAAATTCAATTTAAAGCAACTTTATATATTATATACGAAAAAGCAAACCATTTTTGTGCACTCTTTTGCCCAAAAACAAAAAAAAAGAAACCAACAAACAACTGTAACTATACTCTTATACAACTATTAACTATTAATCGTTTTTCGATGTGCTTTTCTTTACGCTCCGATTTTTTATATATATATATATAAATGTACATCTCAGCGATTTTTCTTCATTTTCAAATAGCCACAAACTTTTGACCAAACAAAAACACTGAAACAAAAAAACGGCAGCATTGTAAAGCAATTGATTTTTATATGTCGTTGAGCTTTAAATATTGTGGAAAGCAGATGATGTGGCCCACTCTTTGACCACGTCGCATCATTTTCATTATCAATAATCCGAATGTAGCAAATTCGCCATAGAGAACCTAGTTTTTATCACCTTTTTTTTTCATTTTTGTTTTTATAGATATCGAAATTACCGAATAGAGATTACTGAATGTGTTGCTTAGAGTACAACTTGTCCATAGTTTTTCCTGCACAATCTGCGACAGAAAAGAAAACGATTTTGGTTGACTTCCACACCAAAAATTTGGTCAGCATACACTTTTATAATGTAAAGTACGATACGATATCGATGGGGCGCTGAGCGGGGGAATGATAAAAAATGATTATTACATGCTATTATGTATTGTTATGAAAAAAAAAATATATTGATATTGATTGAGTGTCATTACAAAAGTCGAAAAAAAAAACCAAAGAAACACTGGGCGTTTTTTAATTCTCGGGCGGATGCGAGCTGATAAGCTGCCTTGCTGGACGGTTTAAGAACTCGCTATGTATACTATGTGGAATCGGTCTTATCGGCAGTTCATTGATTAATGAAATGCATATATCATTTCCAAAGAAGATCCCCGAAATGCCCGGAAACTGCTAGATACACGTAGACTTTTGGGAAGCGCATTTTTGTATATTTTGGATTAACCTAAATATCATGAGTCATGACCTATTTTCTACGCATATAATGTGGGTAAAATCTTAGTTTCAAATAAAGATTTGCGAAAAGTCTACAAATTTTTGGGTGTACCATGTATGCGTGGGTTCTATGTAGACAATCCATTAATAGTTGAAACCAAATTTCATAATCATTTTCATTTCATGAGAATATGAGTCAAACATTATAATATAAGTGGGTTTCTGGGAAAAATAACTTCGTTTTTTATTGGCGGCGTTCGAAAAATATTGGACTATTCAAGGTGTAAATAAAATGTGTAATTAAACTTACTAAACAATATACAATTTTCCAAAAAGAAACATTTTCTTTTAATTGATGAAAAGGGTGGATATTTCTGAAATATGTATATGTTTAACAAGATCAATAATTCTTTTTAGGTCTATACCAAGATATATTTCTTAGCTGATTATTAATTGTTTTATTATATCAAAGGTGATACTGAAATTTAAGATTGCCCATTTATATTTACTTAAACAGATAATTTACATGTATATACTTGAAGTATATGTATGTTTTGATAGTTTGTTATTTTCTATTAAGTAAGTTTATTTTGAAAAAGCCTAAACAAGTAATGATTTGTATGGTAAACTATTTTTGTTATTTTTTTTTAAATTAAATGCATTGGATAATATTAAAACTCTGTAGCCAAAAAAAATGTAGTCCGTGTAATTAAGATATTTTTAGATTTTTGACAACATACATATATTTTGTATGGATTCTTTGTTCGTTTAAAATTAAAACAGCTGCTTGAATGTAAAATACGCTCATTGGCCATTTTAATATTTGTTTATTATATTTATATTAATATTTTGTATTGCAAAATCTTCAAAATAATTAAGTCATAAAAATATGTCAATAAGTACGCCCCACTCAAGATACGGCAAACACCCAGCTGGTATCTTAACGGTAAACCTGGGGCAACGTACACGTCAGTGGTCGCCTTACTTGACGAAAACCCATGTTTGCATCAGACAAACAACAAAAAAGAAGGCCAAACCAACTCTTCTCTCCCAAAATGTTTGGGTAAACAAATAGTGAAAAGCTCGGAGAGAGTGAAACCTTGGGTGGGCGGTACTACGACACGTCAGAGATAGGGGTGGAGCAGTCTTAAAAAAATATCGAATAGAATTACATTAAAAAAGATAGTTTTGTAATGTTAAAATAAAGTTTGGCCATTGATTTAAATGTTCTTTTCTTTTATAATAAACACCTTAAAAAATACATTAAAAATCAAATTACAAGAAAATGTTTTGAAAAGGTTTAAAAACTATAAAAAATATAGTATAGGATATATATAGATATGAAAAATATGGGGTCTTGATACAAAAATATGAAATATGTGTATCATTTTAAACGTATTATTAACATAAAATATCAACTCAGTATCTCTCCATATTATTTTCATTCATATTTTCCCCTATTTTGTATAACATAATAAAAAGCAATCTAAAAAAGAATTATAAGAAATATATAAATTTTAAAAATATAGGGTCTTGATACAAAACTATGATATAATTTAATCATCTTGGAAGTATTAATACCATATAATATCTCTTCAGTACCTCTACTCGACTTTTTCATTTATAATTTCCCCTATTTGCTTTATAACGTGATATTATTTCGAGTTATTCGATAACCACAGGCCTATCGATGTTTCTAGAAGAGCAAAATCATCGACACGTCAGTGGTACGTGGAGCGAGGAGCAATAAATAGCCGGGGGAGCAGATAGGAATAATCAGTTTCAAAACAAACGTACAAGGAATAACATCACAGCAAAAGAGAAACGCGATTTATTCAATTCAAACATATTCCACTAAGAACAACTTAACGCGCTGTGAACGCAAATACTTATAAACAAATAACTTAACATTCCCATTAGATCAATTAAAACCAAGCCAAAAAAACAACAAAGACTATACTTCTGTGACAAAAAGTGACAATTAATTAAATAAGTGAATATTTTTTTTAATAGTTTTAGTTAGCAAATGTAAGTATACAAGAAAATGGTTTTAAATATTTGAATGTGTATGATGAACATGGTTGACACTAAAATTGAAAGTACTTCAGAGGATATTTAAAAATATTTTAATTTGGTCCTAAGTAACCAAACCCTGAATGAGTGTACACATATTTTTGCCTTTTTTTTGTGGTGTGTGCTAAAAGAAATTAAAAGTTCTTTTGTTTCTGATGATAATGAGGATTTCTAGCTAAAATGAATGTTCCAGATTTGTTTGTTTTCTTAAAAGCAAAAGCCAAACAGCTGGTTCTTTTATATATTCATGAGAAAAGAAATGGCTGAAATGAGTTAGCAAAAATATAATATTAGCTAATAATCATTTGTTGTATTCCCCATCTATAGATAACATCAATTTACATTTTAAAAGTTAGAACTTTTTTTAAAAGTCGGTTACTTGCTGCCCTACATCCGTTTTCCAACACTGAACCACCACTGACGTGGCCCAGAGTTGCAAGCGTGTGCGTGTGAGCGTATCGCAAATCTGTGACTGTGTGCGTGCTTAGAAAGCGCCGGCAAAAAAATCAGAAAGCAGCAGCCACATATTCTACTGCTCTGTCAGTTCCGTTTGAGGCGTCGAGAAAGCACATTAAATCGAAACCAAGTGAAAATTCTTAGCCGCTCAGCGATAAGTGTAAGTGCCAGTTAAAAAAGAAAACAAAGCGTAACAATATTAGCAGCAATAACTACGAAATGCAGTTGCTTTGCCAGAATATTCGCGAACAGGAAAGGAAAGGAGAACAGAAAGGGCCACCAATACACTTAAATCTTTGTAGTCGCCATGTTGGCAAAGGAAAAGGGGGGCTAAAAAGAACAAAAAAACGCTGCTCCATAAAAAAAGTCAGCCGCACGTGCCCCAAAATAAATAGAAACGTGCGAATTAAGTTTTTTTCTAGTTGCATTCCAAATAAGCCCTCCAATGACGTGGTGGCCGTGACACATAATAATGTTAATATACAAATCAGCTATTGGGTGAATGAACCTTGGTTTCATTTGTTTTCTAGAAGTTTTCATTAGTTAAAGAAGTTATTTATTTGAGGCACTCTTTTCATACAGTTAATTTACAGTTATTTCCGCATGAATATTTCCTTCTTTTTTTTGGGAGCAAAAAGCGCCTGCGCATGCCGCTGTCTGTGTGAGTGGGTGTAGGGCTATCTGTGTATGTGTCTGTGTGCCAGCGCTCAATCCGCTTGGTACACGTCATTTATTTGGCCCAAGAGCTTAAATCTTTGGAGAGCGAAATCCGCTGGCCAAAAGTACACGTCAGTGTGGCATAGAAACAAAAGACAAAAAATTGACTTGAGTGGGTAAGCTATAAACAGCTGTGCAAATTCAGCTTTTCGATGAGAAGTGGGGAGGGGGGGACTTTCTCCAAGTGCGTGAAATAACCAAAAGAAAACCAGTTATTTGGCCGCTCTCTCGCCGGCAGCACTCTGCCCCCTCTCTCTCTCTCTAACTTCTTGAGAAAGAACCAGAAAAATGTTACACGTATACAAAATTCGCTGCGCTCTCTCGCTCTGCTGCTGCTCTCTCTCTATCTCTTTGGCGACGTCGACGTCGGTCAATGTCAGCAGAGCAGAGCAGCGATGAGCACAGCGCTTAGCAGTTGCCGGGCAGTTAGCCATTGAAGTAGACGTGTTCTTTAACCGATCTGGACTATATATAGTAACTCTACGAATCCGAATATAAGGTACTGATATTGGTAGAATAGGATTTTGAAGTGGCTGCCTGGGTTGCCAAAGTGGCACAGCTAACGGTGCATGTTGACAGTTGACAAGCTGGCCGACGTCATCAGCAGTAGTGATTCTCTCTCAGAGAGAGGGAGAGAGTGTGCGTGTGTGATTGTGTTGACGTGTACAAAAAGCCGAGCTTGGAAATTGTCAAAACTAATTCAAATTTTCCCTATTCCTTTGATATTTGCAGTTTTCCTGAGAGATCTTCAATATGAGGTTATGCATATTACTGGCTGTCGTGGCCTTCGTTGGCCTCTCGCTGGGCGAGGAGAAGAAGGAGAAGGACAAGGAGCTGGGCACAGTGATCGGCATCGATTTGGGCACCACGTACTCCTGGTAAGTAGAACTAGAAGTTCTAGACCCCAAAGCCCTTTATAAGACCGACGTGAAACCTATGGCGTATCTGGATCATATAATGTACTGCTATCATAAATTCTATGGTTGGACTAGAACTTATGGTGATATATGGATATTAACGTAGTTTCAGTTTCTAAGGATCATAAACTCAATAGTTGGTATCTAGAAATCGTATTACTTGTCCTGCTGAAATAAAAATACTTGTTGCTGATATTCAAAAGAATCCTAGCCATTTCCGAACGTAATCCAATTAATGGATTCTTCTTAAAAACCCTTTAACACCTTTTCCTTATTTATAAGAAGTATAATTTCATAATAAATTTAAAGCTTGTACGCAGTAAACCTTCAGCCCTGCTTTTAAAACTTTGACTTCCCTCACTTCCACGTGCTCATATAAGCATTATTCCAGTAGCTTAAGGTCCAAGTTCAAGTTTTACTATCACTTTCCTCGTTTATTCAATGATCGAGCTAATCCCAATTATATTCAACCAAGTTTCCATTCACGAAACCTAACTAACATTTCTCTTTGCAGCGTTGGTGTTTACAAGAACGGACGCGTTGAGATCATTGCCAACGATCAGGGCAACCG